AACGCGTACAAGAAAATTAGAATTTAAAATTTGACGTTTATGAAGATTAATGTTTCTTACTTTTATTGTTCGTATTCTATTTCTACAATAATTTAAAAACTTATATTTAATTAAGTTTTAGAATTAGCAAACTGTTTATTAAGTGAGAGTATATATATATATATATAGTCTTTCTTAACGAAAATTTTTAAGTGTTAAATACGATATTAACATTTTTTCCTCGTTCTAATTTAAAAGTAATGGAGAAGTTAAGAGTCGAAAAACCCCTAAAATTCCCCCTATACAAATAGGGTTAACTACCCGGGGTAGTCAGTAGAGAGAATTAAATATGGTCAACTGTTTATTTTAAGTTTTTATCTCAAGGATAACATTTCCAACTTTAAATCAACTATTCAGCCAATTGACTTTGCTAGAAGAAGTCACTTAAAAGTCTATTTTCGGATACCAAAGATCCGGTTTTTATTTTATTTTCTTATATATAAGCTAGCTATATATATATATATATATAAGCATTTAGAAAGCAAAGAAGATGCTTATACATCGCTCCACAAAATGGAAAACTTCCGATACTTTTTTCCCCAGCCATTTTAATGCATCTACTCCATTATCGGGAGCTATTAAATATAGTTTTCCCGAATTTGAGACCGTTAAAACGTCAATACTTTATACAACCGTCTACAAACTTAAACTGCGGTAAGAAGAATAAAATTTTTAAAGTTTTGAATTCGATCTGTTTACGACAGTTTTGTCCACATTTACCGATTTATGATCAATCATTGCCAACTCCGATCCACGCGGTTAGAATAGTCAGATCACGTGACTGGTTTCGACTACGTGATAACTGGCAACACGACAAGCTNTTCAAAGCGTAATTATTGATTAAAAAAAACCGAATACTTTTAAAGTATTTCTTATATTATTTCGTTTATTTTTGCATTAAAAAAAGGTTAAATCTTTCAAAAAAAAAGCAAGAGTTTACAGTAAAAATTTATGATTTTAAAACGCGATTTACGATAGAAATTATGTCAAAATGTGAAGTCTGGCGAGTGATTTTTATAATAGATAATGATCTGTTAAACAGTCGATTTTCAGAAGTCTAAATATAACGAGTAGCACGGTTTTAATGTCGAGAAAGGTGTTTGTAAGACATCCTAAATGGACGGTGGGCTGCCTCTCTGAGGAACAGTTTCTATCACGAGTAGGGATGTTTCGCATGAGAACATCGAGCGCGGTCCCTCATCACTCTCCAACTCCCATTACAGGTCCAACCAAACCCACGATGGTGACGAAAAAGCCTTCTTAATGCCCGCACGGAGGAATAGATCTAAAGAAATTCATCATAAATTAGTGGATAATAAACCGAATTCTTATTAGTAACTTACAAGACATACTTTCTTCAAATCTATGTATCCATCAATTGTTATCCCTCATTTTATAAACATGTTTTATACTCTTCTACCAAATGTTTAATATCGTATTCAATATTTTAAAGTGTTCTGCAAAGTTCATTAGAAAAAAAAAAAAACTATTAACGTATAGACTCTATAGGTTAATACTTAAATGTAAAAATGAACAGACAATTCTAATAAATACATATATAAAATTCAATTTAAGCAATTAAGTATTTTATAATTGCATTGTAGCATGTTTAATATGATGTGTATTGAAATAATTAATTTATTAGTTTATAGCACCTTAAAGTTTCTTCAATGATACTGCTTAAAGATGCTCTAACGTTCAGCCAAATTAATGTACTTTATGTGCAACGACTTTAACCGCTTATTGGCCAAAGCTCATTTAATGAGATTGCAACGTAGGTCTAGAATTTCACGAAAGATCCCATAAGAAGCATCCATATTTGAGACATTCCGAATGCAAATTTACAAAATTTCTATAAATAAAACGATTTTTTTTTTTGTTTTTTGATANAAGAAAGAATTTCAATTCTTATTCAACAATTTCTTTTGTCATTATTTATAAAGTCAACAATTCAAGTTTTATTAACAATCGTCTTTAATAAAGTCGAGTCTACAAAAAATGAAAAGACTAAGAAATATCAAAAGAAAGATAGAATCGGAGCATACCGTAAATAAAAAAAGAGTAAAGACAAAAAGAAATGAAGAAGACCAAGAAAGAAAAAGAGATGAAATTGCTACATTATGTGCACACTTGAAGAAGTGACAATTGAAGAAAAGAAATTAGTCAAAACGCGCCATTCTGCCGACGAATCGACATCCTCCTCAAAGGAGAAGAAAATCATTTCAGAAAAATATGATAATGGACATAATGGGGATTATTCTGCAGCAAGCGAAAACAAGATCAGAACTTTTAAATCGGACAAAGAAGATAATACAAATTGCGAATACATATGCATTAACCGCTTATTGGCCAAAGCTCATTTAATGAGATTGCAACGTAGGTCTAGAATTTCACGAAAGATCCCATAAGAAGCATCCATATTTGAGACATTCCGAATGCAAATTTACAAAATTTCTATAAATAAAACGATTTTTTTTTTTCTGTTTTCTGATATTTAATTTGATTCAATAATTTAAATATACTCAACGAGTCGAATTAAGAAAACTGTTTATTCGTGAGTTCCACATACGTCCACTCTATGAACAGTTCTAAACCGAGCGTTGAGACTATGGGCATTCGCAGGAAATTTTCTAGGAGCTTGGAAACAAATAATTACTTCAATAATTTATTAACTTTTGGGGGGTTTTTTTCTCACTAGTAGATTATAGAATACATAAAGACAGACATGGTCGGGAGACATAAAGATATATATTTCAACCAGCAATTTTTAATCATATTTTTAATTTATTTTATTTAAAATTTATCCTCTCTACCTCAAATTATTAGTAGTGTCTTGCCCCTGTACGTCATACTTTTCCTTTAACAATAAAGTCATGCCGGTCATTCATTAACTGCTTTCAGGGGAAAATATTTGAATGGTGACTTTCGGTTTGTATAAAACGTTCGTATAGAGTTAATCGGGGCCTCCTACACCTACTGTTTCTATATATATTCTCGGATTTCATATAGCTAACTCCGTTCTCAGATTAAGGAAAGACAGACGGACGGATGTGAATTTATAGGTCTACAATTTTATGTCTAAGTTTATATTTCAATCAGTGTGCCAGTATGATAAATATGATGCAAATCAAGCAAAAAGCTAAGAACAAAAACTTTCTATTATTTATATTCAGTGGTAGACAAAAAGGTCAAAACGCGAAGGGTCAAATTTGACACGATTCCGATACTTTCTTTTGTTATTTATTTAAATTTAAGGCATTCACAGTACTCATCGTAGACACTAAATATTTTAAATTTCATCAAAATCTATTCATTGGTTGTGGAGATATTAAGTGTCAAACTTGGTATTTTAACATTACACGTGTGATTAGTTGGTTAATTGGTATGTTTTGATGCAGCAGAAGACTACAGGCTATGCTGTGCAATGCCAAACATTATTGACAAATAATAAATAAATAAATAAATATTGAGTAAATAAACTGTACAAAAACTAAACAACGTCAATAATAAGGTATATAAAAATAAGATAAAGTATGAAGCATTTTAATCATATTAAGGAATTTTTGAAGTATTGCATTACCTTATGCCTTTAATCTAATCATTTCAGTGTTGAAATCAATACGTTTCTTCCAATCAATTAAATTATTTGAACTAAAACCCGATATTTTTACACGAATTTTCGTGTTTTGTAAAAAGAATTAAGCATTGTTCGGAATTCTTATATTATAAAAACAATTTTCCTTATGACATAATTAATTATTTTATCTGAATTTTTTTCTCAGAACTAACGATAAATCATTATGACACTTCAAGAATTAAATTATCATGGTAATAATAAGACTTAAGTACTGTACATTCTTAACATATATATCTGTATTACCCTATTTAAATTCATCACAAACTAAATACTGATGCATTTGTAATCCATCTATAAGAATTAATATCTGAATAAGTTAAATAATTCTACTCCAGTATCGATTTATAACGTTTCGTACTCTTATTATCCTGCCTTCTTTAATTATGAATTACGAGGATATTTTTATATCCATTAAGTAAATATAATATATAAATATATGTATGTTTTAAAATTATATCGTTTTATGTAAGAATTGTACTTAGTTTATTATTTTGTTAGATTCTTTGCCAATATATAATGCTAGAAATTAATCTATACATAGAAATACAACAATATTTAGGTGTTAGATGTACGGCATTATCTAATTTAGACGTGTATAAACGTAACTTGCGAGTTTCGTAGCAATTAATCCAACGGCCTAGTCGCGTGTAACGAACAAACAAACATCCTCATTACATATATATCAATAGATAAAACTCTGATTTTCATTTTATTTACACGTGGTATCTTCTATACCAAATTCTTGCAGATACAACTTTATATTTCTTATATTTAAAAAAGTAATAATAAGAAAATAATATATTTACTGACATGTGCCTCCTCAGAAAATTCTCAAACAGAATCTGTTTAGTTATGTCAACGCAACACTTGGATGATCTGCCTATGGGAAATGCCTTTCGGGAGGTCTTTTTAAGGGTAACTGGCCCCTATTCACGGGAAGAAAACCCGGAAAACTCCACGTGGCCAGCTCGAACCTCATAAAGGAATTCCCAGTGTTTAGAGAACGGTGAAATTGATTGCATATTAATTCATTAAACAGTTAGGTCTACTGTCTTTTTTTTCATATTTAATGGTTATTAGATGGTTAAGCTCTTAAAATATTAATTAAAAATTTTAGAGAAAATAATATTTAAATAAATTTACGACTGAAAAAAAAAAATCATAAAAAGTGTAGATATATTTAGTGTGTGTCTTAATTGACTTATATCGCATACTAATTTTGATTTATTTAAATACAAAATAAAAAGCAAGAGTTTAATTCAAATTAAACTTTAATAATTTTTAACATGACATGCAAATTATTTTCCTCTATAAGAATGTTTGGGCGAACAATTATACATAAAGAAAGCGAGAAAACAGGTAAAATTATTTTAAAAATTTAAAATTTATATATTTATTAACGGTTTTTCTTTTTTAACTTTCAGTGAAACGTCATGGCAGAAAATAATTCTCGGTGGAAACGTACAAACTTGACGATAATTTACCTTATCATCATTTATTGTTTAATTCGCTTATTCTTCTCTTTCCTTTCTATCGTTTACCTCGTAGAACGTTATCATTCAGGGAATCTTACAGTATATTCCGTATTTCTAATATTGGTTAGTATATATTAATAAATTTTTATTAATTTATCACGAGAGGAATGTCGAAATATTCTTCGCTTGCAGATGAAGGAAGAAATAGTGTCGAACTTTTCCGTGGAGACAGAAATAGTTCGAGTCGACGAGAGTCCATAGAATTAACAGAAATGGAAGGTTCACTAAATGGTTCTTTTAAACGTTCGAAGCGATAGATAAAAATTAAAAGTAATGACGATCAAGACAAGTTTGAAAATTAAGAAATGATGATCTACGCCTATCAATGGATTTATCTTAATTGTCTTCTATTTAAAGTACTGGTTCTAGTGACTTTTTGGGTGACTGATCTTCTAGTGACTGATGTTTTTAAGAATTTTAAAATAAAGTTTTTAAATGTATTTCGTTATAAAATAACTTCCTTTTTCTTTGTGGTTTTCTTTGTGTGGAGTAATAAATATGTTGTACTATAAATATTTTAATAAAGGAGAAAAAGCACGATCGAGATGAACTAAATATTACTTTCTATTCCAGCATATTTTATTAATACATTACTTTTGATAAGAGTAATTCAATAACACTGAATTATGCATTATAAAAACAAAAATTCGTAGTAGAATACGGAAGAACGAATTACAAAAAATTATATAATACACTAATATATTAAGCATTTCAAAATCATTAATATAATAAGTATAAGTAGCTACGATATAAAACTATTTTCACTTAAATGTTCAACCTTTTATTAGAATAAATTTCGTAAAAATTTATAGTGATCCGGCTGTACGGTCGAGGAGGCGTCAAGCCTATCCCTTTGGCAAACTAGAGATCGAATCTAGAAACTTTTAGGAGGTCCACCCTCATTTTTGGCTGGCCGAACCCACGATGGGTAATTAAAAGGTTCTCTTACTACCCGCAGAAAGGAAAGAACCCCCCCCCAAAAAATTCATAAGATTCGAATGTCTATTCTCCTGTCTCTATCAATAAATGTTATCTCTGACACTTTCCGTAGTATCATTTAATTTATTCTAGCAAGAAACATAAGATCACATTAGTTTAGGAAAATGATGTATGAGAAGAATTGTTAACTTTGACGGATATTACAGTATCTTCCCCCGAATCGCTCACTATATATTTCAAATAAAGTTAAATATGATCGATATACCGTACTTTGATTTCAATAATCGAAGCCATCATTCGAATAATCATTCATTTATAAATAAATATTAAAAAAAAAAAAGGAATCCGTTTATGTCGAACATTCATATTATTCAATTTTGTGTAAATAATTTGAAAGAACGATTAAGATAGAGCTTTTATTTATTTTTTATTAATTATAAATTTACAGTTATGTTATTAATTTTCGGCTTTTTTTTTTTGCTGTTTTAAAACAGGAACATGAAAAATTAACAGATTTGTTTTTAAAACAAAGCAAGTAAATTACAAAAGAATTCCATTTATTCCAATTGAAATCGCTAACAAATTTAAATGTTAACCGGTACTTTACTGTACTTAAATTATAAAATAATTAATTCATTATAAACCTAAATTTAACATAGACAGTTTAGCAGATAAATACTGTAATTATACAAATAAATTTTGATTTAATATACTCAGATCCAAATTAAAATAACGGCGCTTATTTCCTCTCTATCTTTCCTTAATCTCTAAATATCGATTTATTATCTCCTGATATATCTTTTCTTCCTCTTCTTACTACTTTGAAGTTTGTTTTCTCAATTGTATTTTCTTTCTTAACGATTTAAATTTTTCATATAAGTGATGAAAATCACACGTTAATTTTTGATTAGCCCATAGAAATTATGTTATAGATGTAAAAAGGTATCTAAAGTAAATTCTATTGTAACTGCATTCCATACTCTTTTCCCTTTACAAGTAAAATCAGTATGAAATATTTTATTATCCAAATAGTTTTATTTTTATAGGAAATGAAGTTTTACAGTTACAACAGTTACAATCATCCATCTGTTTACTAAAAGTCGCATTTTCTGTTGAGAAAATTAATCACATCTGTAGGGTTCGTATGATTAATGACCTATTGTGAATTATTATATCGTATAATTGTTACTAGATTCTTATGGCTATATGTTCTTTACTTAGTATAGTTTTTACTTTTCTAGTTCTTATGACTTTTCAAACCTTAACGTCCTCATCTTGTCCCACTTTCCCCTATATGGGTTTAACGCCATATAAATTGCTTTAAGCAGTGAATTTAAAAAAGTTAAGGATTACATCCAAGTTTGATCCATGGCCCACATCCTATGTAAATTCAAATCTTACCATAATGCTTCATCCAAATACTATTGAACTCACAGCCTTCTATTAGAATGTGATTAATGGTCGGGGGAGGGGGGACGTCACAAGCTTGATATCGGTTGATCCTCACCCTTCAAAAGATAATAATGAGTTAGCACAGTTTCAAAAATACAGTGAAAACTGCTTAGACGACCACCTGCATTCGACGGGCACCTGTCAAAACGGGCAAAAATTTCTGGCACGGAATTGTTTATCCATAGAGTCTTCGTATAAGTTACCTGTATTAAACGACCACCTGTAATAAGTGACAACTTTCGCGAATGTATCTGGTCTAAACTATTGAAGAATCCATCTCAACAACGTTTCCACCTCCTAATATAATGAATTAGTCTAAACTATTGAAGAACCCATCTTAACAACGTTTTCTCCTCCTAATATAATAAGTTAGTCTAAACTCTTGTTCGAACCCATCCCGGGCACTTCTCCCACCCTTGAAATTAGATGCAGGTGTTAATAAATTAGTCTAGCAACAAAGGAAATTAATTTCAGTTTGTTGGAAAACGTCCGAAATGCAAAGTGCTGTCGTTAGAAGATCGTATTAAAGTTATCACAACAGCAATTAGCGGCGAAGTTTAAATGCGGGAAAACAAAATTTATTTTACCCTAGACCTACAGTATTTTCCTTGGGGGTGTAAAATATTGTACACGATACAATTAATCGGCTGATCTCATCGTTTGATAAAATCTATTTTTATTTATTTATTTTGAAGCTCATATACAGTACACGTGCGATAAATAGTTTCTGTATCAACCTACCTTATTTCCACGATATTTTTAGAAAAATAATATCCAAGTAATTTTCGCAGGCAAAATATTCAAAAAACAATAAACGCATTAATGCAAAAATCAGTTTTACTTCCTTTTTCGATTCCGCGATTGTAATGAAATCGTATAATGAGAAAAAATAATAAAATCGTTTTATTATTAATTAATAATTTTTCTTATTGTACTTAATTAATTAAGAAAATATTAAATATTAAAAAATACAGTATTTTTAAAGTTAAAATAAGATTAAACTAACGAAAACCAAAAGCAAAGTGATGGAGAGATAGGACGCGCTTGTATATTGATGACGTAATACACGTAACTGAGGAGCGAACGAAAAGAACCGAATCGAATTAATTAAGTCGGAAAAAAGAAAGTGTGCATTATAATCGAGAAAATGCGACTATTGTATTAATCTCTAAAGTATTGGTGTTAAATCTGTCTTATAATATCATGACGACTCCTATAAATCGGGTTATCCGATAAGAATAAAATACAATACCAATATAGCCCTATCGTTGAAAAAATTCGCTTATTTTTGCTCGCTCGAGTTTTGCTTAGTAGAAATGGCTAAAAAGTGCGCAAAATACGTACGGAAATACGGTATTAAAGCACTACCTGTATTGGACGACCACCTGTCTAAAAGACCACTTTTTGAAGGAACCGTGGGTGGTCGCCATAAACAGGTTTTACTGTACATGCTCCCACAATATACATGACATAAACACTTCGGTTCGTTAAGGAAACACTCCTTAACCTTCTAAGGAAGAGTGCCAGAATAGGTATTACTATAGGAGAAAAAAATTATTTTTTCTTTTATCCATCTACGTCTGTCTGATCCTGACTATGCTGTTAAAAGTAAACCTCGAGTTAAAATACATGAAAATCATGTTGAAATGCTGCACTGTATACGGTAATGTAATGTAAAATGTGATGCAGTATATGAAGAGAGAGAATTCTAATTCTACTTCTTCATATTGCCTAGAGTCAGATAACACTTGTATTCTAAGGTTCGTGGGAACACTATAAATATTGTCGAATATTGAGAGTGGAGAGACTGGTTAGAAGATGAAATGCTTTTGTATAACTGGGAGCGGTTAATTCATCCGGTTCTTCCTTCAAATGTTTCATCTGAATTCTGTAAACAAATACTTATCTTAGAAAATCATATAAAGAATAGGAAATTATATTTAGTTTTGAAAATTGAGAATTTAACTGTGTGTCCTCATAATATTTTTAGTTTGAGAGTCAAAAATATGACGAAATTTAAGTAATATCGAAGAGTATCCAAGCATGTCATATGAAACAACAAATGAAAAATCTACTGTGAGATCATCAACAGAAAAAAATATATATATTTCTTTTGATGATCTTGATCTAGATATTCGAATATATTTTCGGGAACAACGAAATCAAGTTCCATCTTAAAATATACTGCTGTAAGTTCCACTTCCTGCTCTGCTGGTGTTACAAAGTAACTTTGACGAGTCACATGGCCTGATCCACTGTATTAAAATATAGTATTTGGCATGGAAAAAAATGTTATTCAGAAATTCGTGTAAGAAACATCCCAAATAGCTACAAAACTCATTAAATATTAAGTTACCAGTAAATTAAAAGCGGGTTTATTTTATAATAAAAACAGTAATGTCAATCTCATTTCTAATACCTGTTTACGTGATGAATCAATACATAAATTAACAAATATACAATTCTTATTATATTGATTGATGTTATGTTTAATGCTAAAAGTTTGAGGTATTTTAGTGTTTAATTGAAAAAGTTGGACCCCTAGACGCGAGTTTCTGTCCACGATAAGGGGGTTTCCCAGAGATGGTTTACTATCTCTGGTGTCTGAACGCCTATCCAAGTGTTTGCCTTGCGTGGACATCTATCTGACGAAAAGGGATAAGAAGGGGTATCTCCTGAGAGAACTCTGCATGAGGAAACTGGCCCCTTTTTATATGTTATACATTTATACGACCCGAAAAACTCCACGAGACTAATCTGTTAGCCTGGTACTAACTGTTTTTAGTTTTATTACCCACTCGGCACTAGTGAGATCTGCATTAAAATAAATCGGATAAAACGCAATCATGCGAACAATTCTTTAACTTTGAATTAGATTTTACCTGCTTGCTTCAATCGCGGGATAAAGCCAGAATAATTATCGCTACACACGTTCAAATAAATCGTAGAAATAGCCAAATCTTAAAATTTACTTCATCGCGTGTAGCAGCCTTAAATGCAAATTATTCGAATTAAAATGGCAACTGAGCTGAAATCGATAAAACCTTTTTTTTTTTTTTTATAACTAAGAGATAATATTTTTACAAATTAAATAACTTACACTTTCCGTAGGAACATAAGAACATAACCAAAATTTCACCTGGATTAGAGAAAAATTGCAGGAGTTAAAGGAAATTCACGTACAGGTAGACGATGGCTTTTATATTATTAATTATGTATTTAAATTGTAATGAATGTTTTCAAGCAGATAAGTTTTATATTTTATTTGCGGTACAGCAGTATTCTAGTGTAGCCTTATAGAATAAACAGTTGCAGAATTTTTAAATTTACAAAAATTACATAAAATTATCAAATCAGATTTTACTTAATACATTTATATTATTCAATATATTAAAAAGTCATAGCGAGTACGAATTTTTTTATCATTTTATAATAATATTTTCTTATTCCTCGATATTTTATGCAAATAGAGCGCTACATAAAAGAATTCGACAGAACAAAAAAAAAAGTATTGTTACAGAAGAACGAAACTCGATTACAGTGCTCATTTCGACACTTTTAAAGGTAAATTAATTCTAGATTATACCCCAATATACATTTGTTTATTTGTTATAAAGCCATCCGAACTTTTTTTTTTTTAAGGTAAATTATGGCTTGCACGTGGAAAATAAGTGAATGCAAGATGTTTGTTATAATTTTATTGCATGGTTACTTGTGGGGAATGTTTGGTGGACTGGCAACTTCTCTGGCACGTAACCCACCGGTTTACGAAGATGGGAAAACTATTGACAGTCAACTAAGAATATCGTTCTGTGCTCTTCACGGACTTCTTGCTATAGCGTTCACTAGCTGGTTTATTCTAGGAGAGTTTTATCGATCATCTAACGACAATGAAACTAGCAACGAGAATGAAGAGACTTCTCCACTGATCCCTGAACGCGTAACTCCTGTCATAGATATACCATATAGACTCAGACAGTCCAGGGAAAACGTGTTAAATGTATTTTATACTTCATCTCAATCCACTGAAAGTAGGAATGCTGTTTCTTTCGATTTAAGGGATGATTCATCTGAAATTGTCTTTTCAACATCTGAGAAGAGTTGCGATTCCGTTGGACTAACTAAAGGTCGGTTAAATCATTTAAGTGAAACGGATCTTTACTCGGACGACGATGATGACGATGATGATGATGATTTCGTACTTAGTTCATTATCCTTAGATACTTACAGTGACGATTAGCGTCGTGTGAAAATCGTCTTGAGGTTTTACTTTGAATGTGAATCAATTTAAATATGACAAAATTAGACCTCTTTTTTTGGTCCATGCTTTTAAAACCAATATTTTAACATAGTTCATTTTTTTTTAAATATGAATTTATCTAAAACTATTCTTCCTCGTTCTTTCTTATTCAGAATGTGTGTATATTTCGGTGCACAAAGATCTTATAATTGCATATTTGAAGTGTAGAAATACTATTTTTGTATTCTGAAATTCGTTTTAAATTTTAATAAAATCGATTTTTAAATATCTGAATTATTATTATTTTTGCAAATTATTGTTTGGAGGTTCTCCCTTTTTTTCCAATTGAAAGAAACTTTTTAGTTTTGTTAACTATAAATACAATATATTTAAATTAATTAAAATTTAAAGCGGAAGTAATGCCAATGGACCAAGTTTACTTTCAGTAAGCATAAGTAAATGAAACATATAACAAGAAATTAATAAAATATTTGACAAAGTTTCTGAAAATCAATGTATACAGATACACTGCGATGTAAACAGTGAAAGAAAACAACAAATTCGAACTGGAAATGTTAATAAGATGTGGAGAGAAAATCCTCTCTGCGAAGAATAAATCGCTTTTTACTCAGAGAAAATTCAGTTACATCAATTCTCAAAGATTTAAATCAACTTATTACCAGATAGATGGATTACGTTAATTTCTCCTCCTCTATGTAATTTCATAATCAGTTCAGCTAGGTTTATAATGGGGTAGCAGTAAGGTAAGGAGAGGTCCAAGACATCTCAACAGACTACCCTGAAATATTCTTAGGGTTGTTCGTCCAGATTCGATCTCAGGTCCCCAGAGCCTTAGTCTCTCAGGCATCCACACGTCAAAGATATACCAATTAATACAAGATGTATTTAAACAAAATATTTCAATTTTAGTTAAATCAGAAGAGGAACAATCATAACTTGCTTATTAGAGAGGTTGCGGCCGACGTTTTCAACGCGAAAACGTATACGTCGGACGTTCAGCGCCGTTTTCCTATAAGCCTAGAAGTTTGACGATGGTGTTTGAATAGTCAGTAGAATCATTTTCGACGTCCCAAACACCATTGCCAAACTTGTAGGCTTATAGGAAAACGGCGCTGAACGTCCGACGTACACGTTTTCTCGTTGAAAACGTCAGCCGCAACCTGTCTATTATTATTAGCACGAAATTTATTTTATTAAATCTTTTTTTAATTAAACATCAAATATCTCTAGCTTTTAAGATCAAATGGTATACAACAAAATAGTCCATATAAAAACTGTTGTATTGAATAAGACAACGCAATTTGCCAAGCAGTATAATAACTTCCGGTAGAATTCTCTATGGGGGAAACTGCTTCCTATTTATGTGTGATACATGTTAATAAAATCCAGAATACACTGAGGTCAATCAGTTCAGCGCGATTTACACTGGGCATGAAACGTAACTTGGCGAAGCGGGTTAAAAACTTTCATGTCTTTCGCCCCATTCACGTCCAGTGTAAATCTTCTTTTAGTCAGGTGCAAACCCGGCATATTTAACAATGGAAATCCATATTGAAATAAATCGGAAGAAACACAATCATACCAACAAACCTCTAAACTTTGAATTAGATTTTATCTGATTACTTCAATCGCGAGATAAAGTCGGAATGGGCGATAGATTGAAGCTATACACGTTCAAATATGCCGTATTAATATCCAAATGTTAAAATTTACTTGAGCATGCGAGTCCTACAGTTGTAAATACAAATTCTTAAAATTAAAAATAAAACGGAGATTGCAGATAAGTTTTATATTTTATTTGCGGTACAGCAGTATTCTAGTGTAGCCTTATAGAATAAACAGTTGCAGAATTTTTAAATTTACAAAAATTACATAAAATTATCAAATCAGATTTTACTTAATACATTTATATTATTTAATATATTAAAAAGTCGCAGCGAGTACGAAATTTTTATCATTTTATAATAATATTTTCTTATTCCTCGATATTTTATGCAAATAGAGCGCTACATAAAAGAATTCGACAGAACAAAAAAGTATTGTTATAGAAGAACGAAACTCGATTACAGTGCTCATTTCGACACTTTTAAAGGTAAATTAATTCTAGATTATATCCCAATATATATTTGTTTATTTGTTATAAAGCCATTCGAACTTTTTTTTAGGTAAATTATGGCTTGCACGTGGAAAATATGTGAATTTATTAAGATGCTTGTTGCAATTTTATTGTATGGTTACTTGTGGGGAATGTTTGGTGGATTGACAGTTTCTCTGGCACGTAGCCCACCGGTTTATGAAGATGGGAAAACTACTTTTGATAGTCGACTAAGAATATTGTTCTGTGCTCTTCACGGAGTTCTTGCTATAGCGTTCACCGCCTGCTTTATACTGCATGAGTTTCATCAATCATCTAACAACAATGAAACTAGCAACGAGAATGAAGAGACTTTTCCACTGATCCGTGAACACGAAACTCCTGTCATAGATAGACCATATAGACTCGGACAGTCCAGGGAAAACGTGCCAAATGTATTTTATACTACATCTCAATCAACTGCAAGTAGGAACGCTGTTTCATTCGACTTAACGGATGATTTATTTGAAACTGTGTCTCCTGAGAAGAGTTACGATTCCGTTGGACAAAATATAAGTCTGTTAGATTTTTGGGGAAGTGAAACAGGTCTTTACACGGATGATGAAGACGATTTCAAATTTGGTCCTTTAACTTTCAAAGAATAACAGCGACGATTGACGTAGTGTGGAAATCATCGACGATTTTATTTGAATGTGAATCCAATTTAATTTGACAAAATGAGACCGTTTTGGCCATTCTTTTCTTTTAAAAAAAATTGATTTTAATCTATAAATACATTTGACCTATTTATTCTTTTTAAACAATAAATTTATCTAAAATTGTTTCCCGTTCTTCTTTACAGCGTATATATGTTTTTGTAAACAACGATTTTAATTGTAATTGGTTAATGTTTTAAAGTGTTGAAATATTTCTGTATTCTACATTAATTTTTGCACAAGTCTAATAAAAAAAGACTACTTTTTAGGGAAATATTCTTTTTGATTCTGACCTAAATGTAAGGGGAAATTAGTGTTTTTAAAATTTAACAACACACAAAAATAATGTCGAATTGAAGGAATGAATAGTTTCAGATATTAAAAAAAATCTTTTCCTCAGTAATAAAATATTTTAGTTTATTCCATGTAGTATAGATAACAGCCGGGAAAGTAAAAATGTTACCACGTATACGTAACAAGGTAAAATACGGGAGTCGTGTGAAATTTGACCCTCTAAGTTTTTTTTTTTTTTTTANATAGTTGAATCTGTTGTGTGGATATTATCATTACGTAATTTGTTCTCTATTCCAGTAGTATTCTCTCGTACAGAATACCATAAATTCGGTGTAGATCTCCGATATAATATCGGTTTAGATAGCGTAACTGGTAAAGACATTTCTCTTGCAGTGGAAAAGGGCAAAAATGTTTCAGTTTGTACTTCTCGAACTGGAAGCTTGTCTGAAACACAGGCTAAAAGAAATTTAAACGAAAGATAACACGGTATAACGACTGCGAAACATCCGTGAATAATGCAGAAGATATAATGTAGTCTCATTTCAATTGTATTTTTTTTCCAATGATTAATATCTGGCGGTTCTCTCGCTAAAGTCACAAAAAGACTGACGAAAACACCCAACAAGTATCCTTCCATCATACTCAGACTAATTATTTTACAAATGTATTTGGAAATCATATTCATAATTCCGAAAACACAGTAACAAGTCTGAAATACAATATATTCCATAATATTAAAATTAATAAAACAACACAATAACATATCTGAAATTATAAATTAAACTTGAATTTATGCTTAGGAGAACGTTTATATATAGCCATAAATTAAAGAAATTTCGTACTTGATTACCTTTAGTTCTCGTTGTAATTGTTATGACTAAGCATAAAATTGCTTGAGAGAACGAATTCCTTCTGTCAAGCAATTTATGCTTACTCATAAAAAATAAATTTAGTAATTGTTTTAAATACTCGTTTTTTTTATAATGCAATTCAATCTATAATCTTGCAATTCAAATGGAAGAAAAATCCAAAATATCTGGGTTTAAAATTAGGATAAAACACACAAAACAGATAAGAAATGTGAATCCTATTTATTACAGGTGTATTTAGAATGGGCGCACATTGTGCACCGTTGTTCGTCATCGCTAGTGCAAGCATTTTCGTTAACATAGGAAACGACTCTATTCTATTAGATGCAAATCGTGTGTCAAGATGGATTCCTGCATTGAAAGAAGTGTCAATAAAAATTGGGAACACTATGATGACAGTGTATGTCGATTCTATAACTATGAAAAGATTTGATGGCTAATTTTAATATTATTCGGGTTTTACAATGTTATTCTGAAATTTCGAAAAATTACCGAATATTTTATTACACGTGTCACATTCGATCATCTTGCTAGCAATGACTCTCGTTCGGCATTCATTAACTTATACTGTATGGTGAAGTCATGGTTCGTATATCCATCCATACCCAATTCACCTTATTTGACAATAAAAAGTGACGTTAAAAAATTGCTGATTTACATAGATGAATTTTTCTGTAGCATTTGACAATTTAAACCAGTGTTTCTCAATGGGAGCGATATCGCCCCCATGTGAGCGTTTTTCCATGTTGAGTGGGCGATTAGTAACAATTTATATTTTGGGGGCGAAGAACAATTTTCTGGGCGATATAGTAAAACATTATATTAAGAATAATTAGATATTTTATTCGTTATATCGTACAATAATTAAACAAACAACATTATACTAGGCACTAGTCTACTCACTCCTACCCCCAAAATAAAGTTTTTTGCCATTTTATAGTAATTAAAAAATTAAGTTTTTATAACACATTCTGATAAGAGGTGGTGCCACACACAAATTTTATCGTTTGCTTAGTAATATGAGTTTTTATTTTAAAAACTTTATAATAGCCGGGAAAGTTACACAATTCTCGTTTCTAGATTTTTTTTTTACACGTAAAATACCCATGCCAATTTAGTAAATTTTCATTCGAATAGATTTTTCGTTAAAACCAAAGATTTATTTCAAGTTCTTGTACAAGATAAAAAAATGTATAAACAATACAAACACTCTGTTAAGAACTTAAGACATATCTAAAAGTTTGTCGTCCTAAAAAATTTTCTTTCTGTTCTAAAAGCAGATTACATTTTCCAATTTAGTCAATTTAAGTTTATTCCATTATTTTCTCGTCTAATATTCAATTATACGTTCAACATCTCGAATAACGGAATGTCTTGGTTTGCTTCAGGTTGAGGTACTTGTCTATGACGATTTGATATGCAAATACCTACACAGACTGCAATAATTAGACATAAAACTTCCAAAAGAAGTATCGAACTCACCAACAGTATTCCAGGACCGTCCCATAAGATATATGATAAAGTTACCAAAATACATATTATTATAGGGCAATAAATAACTGGATAATAATATTTAGAATTCCACATCTTCGCATATCGAAGGAATCTTTGGAAAGATGTCTCTTGATTCACTCTCCGGTCTTGTTCCATTAGCAAAATCTACAGTAACGCAATACTTAACGTATTAGAAAATTTTATAATCTAAAGAGGATACTTTAAGAATAACTTACTTATTTTCTATTACTATTTTCTTCCTTTAAAACGTCCTGCGAAGACGGCCTACCGCATGCTTTTTAACATCGCGAATCATTTGCATATTGCCACATTAGATGGTTTTTCTGAATTAAATCGTTACTTTAGGATTTAAAAAAATTATCATTAAATATAAGTTTTTACTGAAACTGCCGTAATAATATACGGAAATTTTAAAGTTCAAATACGTAAGCTGTTTTTATTCAACCTCCGTTGGTCCATAAAATAAAGACAAATTTAAATAACAAAATTAATTTATTACCAAAAGTTAGGTATACTTCTTCATAGAATGTTGCCGCCAGTGACTTGAGATGGGCCATAACGTTGTTTTGAAGATCGTCATTTGTCTCTACCCTGCTAGCTCCGTTTTCAGTCCAGGAAAGAGGTGGAAGTTGCTCGGCGAAAATCGGGGTTATACGCTGGATGTTTAAAAAGTTCCAAGCTGGATGGATGGAAGTCTTCACATACCTTTAATGTATGAAAACTTTCACCTTTCAGACCGTAATGTCAGTATTATATTAAAATTAATTCGAAGTGAATGTTTTACATAATATAGAAATTTATATTTCGATGTCGTCGTCTTCTTACAGTATCGCATGAATTACATTTTGAAGAAATACTCAAACCATACCCGGGCTTCGTTAGGCGTGGACGTTCTCGACCGAACCGTCTAAATTCGAAATTTGCTTGGTTTGATAATATCAAAATTATACTTTATCAGGGCCATCGAAAGCGCGGGAACTGACAACCACAAATGATTCTTACGCTTACAAATTAGTATTATTTTCACTAATTAAAAATAAAATATTTAAGAGTGTTATTTTTATTAATAAAGATTCTACGTATTTCGTTTGTTCAAAAATAAATGGCAAAAGAGGCCCGCTTCTCTTCCCTATCCCGTAAAATCTATCGGAGGCCCTGTACTGTACTTCAAATAAAAACAATTGAACAATAGTGACAATTCACTTTCGACTTGATCATGTCACATTTCTTGAATGATATCGCAATTTATACATGATATATATATAACAGCCCGGAAAGTAAAATAATGGCAAAGTACTGCGATCGGTCAAAAACTAACCCCCCAAAAAAGTTTTCACATTATTGGACTTCGGAAACCTTAAACGTCGAGAAATGGAAAAAAAGTCGAGGGTAGATAGTGTGTGTGGGAAGACACTGTTTTGTTTACCCTCTTTTTGAAGCTCAATAACTTGTGCTTTTTGTAAAAAAATTTTTTGAAATTTTGAGGGGAGGTTTATTATGGAATTGATGCTGTTAAATTTGGTGGTTAAAGGTCGACGGGGTGGGAGATAATGGGGGCGTGTATATTACCAATAGGTTCGGACTTAATGACGATTTTACTCGTTAGCATTTACAATTTTTATAAAACCCAACCCTATCTAAAAATCGAGCTTTTTGCAGTTTTATAAAAAAGGTAAAAATATAAAAAGGTTAATAAAATATAACCAAAATTTTAAATGTGCCGGGAAAGTTGAGTAACTCGTTGGTTTTATTTTTCTGTGTTCGTTTTCACATTGATACTCTCTAAAAATATTCCAGTTTATTCTAACTAGTTTGTGACACCTTTGAAATAGTATTTGGGGAGTTAAATGTTATCGTGTGTAGTCGAGACACCCATCTACCGAACTGATCATTGAACTTTGTTTCTTAATGATTTCAATAGGAAATCACATTTACTAAAGCGAGTGTATTCAGATGGTCATAAAGTATGATATTTTTGTTACCGTGTAAAAAGTTCTCTCGGCGAGGTACCATCTTGACAAGTCACGTGACGTTTTATCCCACCAAACGAAGACCAGATTTTATTCAAAGCATTGACAAGGTTTGAATAAAATCTTCTGCTTAGTTTTGGTTAAAGAATTCAGTAATAAAAATAGGCTGTATAATAGCCAGAATAATAACATTTGCAGCAATTTTTTAAAATTTACCAAACCGGATTTGAAACAAAGTATACGAAAAATATTAAAACGTAATAATCCAACTACACATCGTAATATTAGTACTATTCAAATTTTCACGTTTCGTTAGTTTTAAGTCGACCGATTAATAATAATGAAGATTAACAAATTAAGGATATCAGAAAAATTTTATTTAAGACCACAATCTTATAAAATCTGACTTTTAGCTAAAAAAGTCTCTTTTAAAAACCGAACATAAATCCATTCGTTGTAAAAAAACAGCGTCACGAATTTGGTCACTCGGTAATTTCACTGAACAGGATGTTCTCTTACTCTTACCGAGTCTGCTCCTCTTACATATTCGACTGCAGGTTCAGGAATGGCGTTGTCAGGATTGGCGTTGCGAAATAGTCGAACCAACACAGGTATAAGATCCTTTATACAACCCCACATCATTTTGATAGCCAGTAGAAGAAACGGGAAACAAAATATAGAGAGAAGAATAGCTTTTAAATGGTTATTAGGCAATAGCAGAGCGTAATAAAGGCAAGCACCTAACAAAATTATAGCTACTGGAAAATAGAGTAATAGGAAATGATAAATGGACTTCCAGTTTAAGAGACATCTCAAACAGCGTTGCAATCGGCTCTCTTCTTGCACTACCTCGTTCTGTTCCATTCTGATCCTACNGAAACGGATCTTTACTCGGACGACGATGATGACGATGATGATGATGATTTCGTACTTAGTTCATTATCCTTAGATACTTACAGTGACGATTAGCGTCGTGTGAAAATCGTCTTGAGGTTTTACTTTGAATGTGAATCAATTTAAATATGACAAAATTAGACCTCTTTTTTTGGTCCATGCTTTTAAAACCAATATTTTAACATAGTTCATTTTTTTTTAAATATGAATTTATCTAAAACTATTCTTCCTCGTTCTTTCTTATTCAGAATGTGTGTATATTTCGGTGCACAAAGATCTTATAATTGCATATTTGAAGTGTAGAAATACTATTTTTGTATTCTGAAATTCGTTTTAAATTTTAATAAAATCGATTTTTAAATATCTGAATTATTATTATTTTTGCAAATTATTGTTTGGAGGTTCTCCCTTTTTTTCCAATTGAAAGAAACTTTTTAGTTTTGTTAACTATAAATACAATATATTTAAATTAATTAAAATTTAAAGCGGAAGTAATGCCAATGGACCAAGTTTACTTTCAGTAAGCATAAGTAAATGAAACATATAACAAGAAATTAATAAAATATTTGACAAAGTTTCTGAAAATCAATGTATACAGATACACTGCGATGTAAACAGTGAAAGAAAACAACAAATTCGAACTGGAAATGTTAATAAGATGTGGAGAGAAAATCCTCTCTGCGAAGAATAAATCGCTTTTTACTCAGAGAAAATTCAGTTACATCAATTCTCAAAGATTTAAATCAACTTATTACCAGATAGATGGATTACGTTAATTTCTCCTCCTCTATGTAATTTCATAATCAGTTCAGCTAGGTTTATAATGGGGTAGCAGTAAGGTAAGGAGAGGTCCAAGACATCTCAACAGACTACCCTGAAATATTCTTAGGGTTGTTCGTCCAGATTCGATCTCAGGTCCCCAGAGCCTTAGTCTCTCAGGCATCCACACGTCAAAGATATACCAATTAATACAAGATGTATTTAAACAAAATATTTCAATTTTAGTTAAATCAGAAGAGGAACAATCATAACTTGCTTATTAGAGAGGTTGCGGCCGACGTTTTCAACGCGAAAACGTATACGTCGGACGTTCAGCGCCGTTTTCCTATAAGCCTAGAAGTTTGACAATGGTGTTTGGATAGTCAGTGGAATCATGTTCGACGTCCCAAACACCATTGCCAAACTTGTAGGCTTATAGGAAAACGGCGCTGAACGTCCGACGTACACGTTTTCTCGTTGAAAACGTCAGCCGCAACCTGTCTATTATTATTAGCACGAAATTTATTTTATTAAATCTTTTTTTAATTAAACATCAAATATCTCTAGCTTTTAAGATCAAATGGTATACAACAAAATAGTCCATATAAAAACTGTTGTATTGAATAAGACAACGCAATTTGCCAAGCACTATAATAACTTCCGGTAGAATTCTCTATGGGGGAAACTGCTTCCTATTTATGTGTGATACATGTTAATAAAATCCAGAATACACTGAGGTCAATCAGTTCAGCGCGATTTACACTGGGCATGAAACGTAACTTGGCGAAGCGGGTTAAAAACTTTCATGTCTTTCGCCCCATTCACGTCCAGTGTAAATCTTCTTTTAGTCAGGTGCAAACCCGGCATATTTAATAATGGAATCCATATTGAAATAAATCGGAAGAAACACAATCATACCAACAAACCTCTAAACTTTGAATTAGATTTTATCTGATTACTTCAATCGCGAGATAAAGTCGGAATGGGCGATAGATTGAAGCTATACACGTTCAAATATGCCGTATTAATATCCAAATGTTAAAATTTACTTGAGCATGCGAGTCCTACAGTTGTAAATACAAATTCTTAAAATTAAAAATAAAACGGAGATTGCAGATAAGTTTTATATTTTATTTGCGGTACAGCAGTATTCTAGTGTAGCCTTATAGAATAAACAGTTGCAGAATTTTTAAATTTACAAAAATTACATAAAATTATCAAATCAGATTTTACTTAATACATTTATATTATTTAATATATTAAAAAGTCGNTCGGACATACCACAAATATATTTTATAGAGAATATAGTGTTTAATACTAAAAACAATAATAAATTAATATAAAACAAATACAAAAGACTAATGTAAAGAATAAATAAACATTTAACATGGCATTCGAAGGGCTGCTGGCTTTGGGAACTTTCTTTGGTCCCATGATGGAGCTTGTTTGTTTGTATGTTTAGTTAAGTTACGGCAACACAATACTTGGTGATCTGCCTAGTGAATGTCTCCCGGGAGACATTCACTAGGCAGATCACCAAGGGTAACTGGCCCCTATTCAGGCGTTACAGCCGTAGAGAAAACTCGGAAAACTCCACGTGGCCAGCCCGTTCTGGCGAGGCGCTAACCCAGGACAGAACTCCCAGTATTCAGGGAATGGAACCGCTTGGTCATTGGTGGGCCCCCATGGTGGAGCTAAAAGGAAAGGAAAGCAATGGAATTGTTTGGCTAGACGCGTGGAGTAATGCTTACACAACGCCACACTGAGAAGGAAAACGCGTGGATCGCCCTTTGTTTTCGCGCCAGATTATTTCCTGTTTCTCTTCTTATACTTTACGATAACAGAAAATTACACAACTGATATTACTTATCAACATTCAATAAACTTTATACTTCTTTCTTTGATTAACAGATTTTAAATCTCTGAAATTCCGACATAAAATGAAAAAATGAAGTACACGCTTCTCCATAACCCGTTGTCAAACCGCTGATTTTGAAGAAACTGTTTGAAATCACAGATAAGACTAAAAATTAGCAATTAAAAATTTTATTATGGCTTTTTTATTATCGAATTCATGTGAATAAAATAACGATTACAAAATAAATTTATTTTAAACGTCTATATTAATTTAATACATTTACGGCAATTCATATTAATAAATTCAACATCATGCAACAAGCTAAGAGTGAAGTTTATGCCCAATAAAAAAAATTAAATTTGTGAATTTTAGAGAAAGACAGTCCAACTTTAGAGTCAGACATCCACACGACAGATAGACACGCAATTTATAGGTCTACAATTTTTTCAAATTGCAGCCCAACCACAGATTACTTTTTTACAATATTTCTAGAGATACATTTTACTTTACAGTTAATTTTTTAAATCTGTAGTTGCACTGTCATTTGTTTCATTTTCGCAAAGAACAACAACAAAAAAGTTTTTTCCTGTATCCAGCAATAATCGTAATTTGAAATGATGGTTTGATGTAAATTTCTAGTTTAATTAAAAAATATAATCTCGCAAATATGGAAAAATTCATCATCACATTATTTATAGAATTAAAATGTTATAATGNTTATTTTAAACGTCTATATTAATTTAATACATTTACGGCAATTCATATTAATAAATTCAACATCATGCAACAAGCTAAGAGTGAAGTTTATGCCCCCCAAAAAATTCAATTTGTGAATTTTAGAGAAAGACAGTCAGACATCCACACGGACAGATAGATGACAGTGGCAATTTGTAGATCTACAATTTTTTCAAATTGCAGCCCAATCACAGATTACTTTTTTACAATGTTAACTTGAAATGATCGTTTGATGCAAATTTCTAGTTTAATTAAAAAACATAATCTCGCAAACTGGAAAAATTCATCATCACATTATTTATAGAATTAAAATGTTATAATGTTAAAATTAAAATTTAATTTATTTTTAATAAAGTTAACAATAACTTTTAACATAAAGCCGCAGATAATTAAANATTATTTAATATATTAAAAAGTCGCAGCGAGTACGAAATTTTTATCATTTTATAATAATATTTTCTTATTCCTCGATATTTTATGCAAATAGAGCGCTACATAAAAGAATTCGACAGAACAAAAAAGTATTGTTATAGAAGAACGAAACTCGATTACAGTGCTCATTTCGACACTTTTAAAGGTAAATTAATTCTAGATTATATCCCAATATATATTTGTTTATTTGTTATAAAGCCATTCGAACTTTTTTTTAGGTAAATTATGGCTTGCACGTGGAAAATATGTGAATTTATTAAGATGCTTGTTGCAATTTTATTGTATGGTTACTTGTGGGGAATGTTTGGTGGATTGACAGTTTCTCTGGCACGTAGCCCACCGGTTTATGAAGATGGGAAAACTACTTTTGATAGTCGACTAAGAATATTGTTCTGTGCTCTTCACGGAGTTCTTGCTATAGCGTTCACCGCCTGCTTTATTCTGCATGAGTTTCATCAATCATCTAACAACAATGAAACTAGCAACGAGAATGAAGAGACTTTTCCACTGATCCGTGAACACGAAACTCCTGTCATAGATAGACCATATAGACTCGGACAGTCCAGGGAAAACGTGCCAAATGTATTTTATACTACATCTCAATCAACTGCAAGTAGGAACGCTGTTTCATTCGACTTAACGGATGATTTATTTGAAACTGTGTCTCCTGAGAAGAGTTACGATTCCGTTGGACAAAATATAAGTCTGTTAGATTTTTGGGGAAGTGAAACAGGTCTTTACACGGATGATGAAGACGATTTCAAATTTGGTCCTTTAACTTTCAAAGAATAACAGCGACGATTGACGTAGTGTGGAAATCATCGACGATTTTATTTGAATGTGAATCCAATTTAATTTGACAAAATGAGACCGTTTTGGCCATTCTTTTCTTTTAAAAAAAATTGATTTTAATCTATAAATACATTTGACCTATTTATTCTTTTTAAACAATAAATTTATCTAAAATTGTTTCCCGTTCTTCTTTACAGCGTATATATGTTTTTGTAAACAACGATTTTAATTGTAATTGGTTAATGTTTTAAAGTGTTGAAATATTTCTGTATTCTACATTAATTTTTGCACAAGTCTAATAAAAAAAGACTACTTTTTAGGGAAATATTCTTTTTGATTCTGACCTAAATGTAAGGGGAAATTAGTGTTTTTAAAATTTAACAACACACAAAAATAATGTCGAATTGAAGGAATGAATAGTTTCAGATATTAAAAAAAATCTTTTCCTCAGTAATAAAATATTTTAGTTTATTCCATGTAGTATAGATAACAGCCGGGAAAGTAAAAATGTTACCACGTATACGTAACAAGGTAAAATACGGGAGTCGTGTGAAATTTGACCCTCTAAGTTTTTTTTTTTTTTTTACCAATCTCCACGTTTTCAGACCTCCTGAATCCAAAACAGTAAAGAAAAAAAGTCCGTGAAATGTATATATGTAGGCGTCTATTTCGCTTAGTATCTCAGAATGGGGTAAAGATTAAGATACCAAATTTTAGTATGTTGATTTCTATATGAGGTGCATTCATGC